GATGTGCACCTTGTCAAGACCGACAGCGCTTGGCACCTCCTATGTTGGGATCTGGGGATAGAATGCGCATTATACATTGGACTGATTAAATTGACATCTCAACACCATGAATTTTTGCGCGGCTTCGTTGAAACTTTGAACCAAATGTAACCAAGCAATTCATTTGCGTCGGTATTTTTGTTGCTGTTGTTGTTGACTGGATTCACAATTTGATTTCTTTTGGGTTCAATCGCAGTGTGAGTGTATCAGGACGATCTCACCCGAACGAGACTCATCGCGAATCATCAGAGGGAGAAGTTTACACAATTGTGGATTGTGATTGAGGGCTTCTAAGCGTGGCATCATCCATATACAACGCAGTTTTTAATTCGGTTGATGTAATTTTTGCTCTCTTTCTTTGCATGTTTTAATCGAACCCGGCATCACAGAGAGTTTGCGAAACAATGGCTTTGTGTTGGCCCACGATCACATTTTGGCCTCAAAGTGCACCTAGCCTGGCACAAGCGCCGTAGTGACGTCGCTGCCACTTTGAAGGCGAATGGCGACTGTTGTTGTTCTTGTCAAGCCACAGTTCCGTGAATCTCGAACTACAAGATGGTCCAGATCTCTTGTGACCACCAATTAATCGACGCCTAAAATGTTTTTCCCTTCGCATATTCATTTCTGTTTTAAATAAACCTTCTTTGAAATTTTGTTCAAATTTTGTTTTATTTAAAAAAAACACTTTTAAAATTTTTTTTTTATAATTAAATACAAGGCATGGAGCCATCGATTGCACAAAGTTCAACCACCCTGTTGAGAGCCATGGTCAATCAATGGGGTATCAATACATGGATTACCCCCACACATGCGTGGCGCAATTTCCCTTGAGTTAAAAAAGCTAAGGTCACCTTAGAATATTTATCTCTCTGAAAGTAATTTGATGAATGCATGCGTGTACCTGTTCTGGAAGCTTTACTTCGCCGGTCGGATTCCATTACAAAAACAAACAAAATATGGTAAACCGAAGAGCCAGCATGCATACACCTATTGCTCACAATTGCAGTATCGGCAAGGTCAGCCAGTTTTCCTTCCTCAACAAAAAGCAGTTCATACAGAAAAAAAGTTCACAAACATTTAAAAGTCAAATCGTCTGCCAACGCAACAGAGCAATGGGGCGGCAGATCTATTGGGGGCCCTGAAGCTGGGCGTGTAAACTCCTTGGCATGTCAAGGGCGAGTTCCTCCGAATGACAACCACTCTTAACGTAGCACAATGCAATACTACTTTTATCGCCCCCCAGAATGATGATAGGCTGAGTCGAACTGTGCCCGTGGTTTGAACCGATGCCTCAATCACGGCCTCGCATGGCGAGGTCGATGCCAGAGTTCGGAGTATTCCTCCCTTCCCCCAATCATCCGAGCTGCAGACTCCCTATCCCTGTTCAAGTTCAGCCTCAGGACCTTCTATTTTTCTGTTGCCTGTGACTGACCCTGCTTCTTTGTGGCTACAAAACAAATAGCCGCATGCCCACTGTGTCTGCGCGGTGTCTTGCTACGCGGCCACATGCAGACGCTGCGTAAATCCAAATTCGAATATGTAAATGCTCGAAATATCATTTGCATGCTTGAAATCATATTGATCGATAGAAAGATGAACACGTAGATTAGAGAACATACCGGATGATGCCCGATGTTCGAAACTACTGAGTGGCACCCTAGGAACTCGATCATGTGACACGGCCGCCACGGAGATGGAGCGATGAATTCAGTTTGTGTGCGGCTGCTGCGTGGATCGTTCCATGATGAGAGGTGGCGTCGGCTTGGGGAGGCTTTCATCCATCAGTGGATTGAGCACGGCTGGCGGTGATGATAATGATGATGCCCATCTGTGCAGGTAAGGTCACCACGGAACAAACCCCAGGCATACGTCTTAGTCAGGCTAGGTCAACAGAACAGCGCAGGCTCCTGTCGAAAAGTGCAACACTGCCAACCCCCCCACCCACCCCGCCTAGATCCAGGCACAAAATCAATTCCTGCGAGCCGAACGCGGATGCCAGGGTCAAACCCAGACAGGTGGCGACCCGAGCTAAGTGCGGCCGATGGAAGCTGTTGGTGGAGAGGAAAAGGGTGGGGGGTGGGGGGCAGCTCTTGTCGGAACACGACATTCGTCGGGCAGCCAGGCAGCGTCGGCCTCGTGTTACAGCTCCGATACGCGGTCCACCTGGTTCTGTGAGCTTCTGCGCCCCTATTTACATCTCGCCCGGCAGGGTCACGTGCGACACAGTGGAATATTTTGTTTTTTTTTATACAGAAGTTGCCTACACGGTGCCCCCTCCCCCCAAAATAAAATCACAAGAGCAGACCTCAACAAACTCCCGTCCACGCAATATTTTGCGTTTTCATCCAAATTCAGCGTTGCATTCCAGCCGGAAATGCACAGAAAATGTATTTCGAATGCCACATCCATCTCGCCCTTGTTTTATCCTGATTTGTAGATATTAAATATCTTAACAAATCCATATACATAGGGTCATATGAATGCAGGGAGAAGCACATCGGGTTTATTATGGATACCTTGTCTTCTAGTGGCGGTGTTTGATGAAAATAATCTCAGCCGAGTAGCATTCTGGAAAGTATCGAGATGATAAATTACATCCTGAAAAGAAGCAGCTCTTTTGTCCATCCACTGCTGGATGATCTAAATCTACCCCACGCTGCGATGGCCGTGGAGGTTGTTTGACCATACTTCACCCCGCCGGGCAGTGTCGGTTGCTAAAAGAATGACGTGTAGACGTTGGAGCGGAGTACAGTACAACAATGGATGTCGCTCCAACTGCCGCCCTCTTGCTGGCAATGTCAGCCATCAGAATCAGTATTTATCCTGGAGGAATCCGATGAGCTATGAAGCTCTTTTCTCACAGATGTCCGGTAGGAGCGGGTCAGAACGTAAGAACAACAAGCAATACAAAAACACAATGGAGGTGCACGGTGAGGCACCAGAGGCTGCAGTGAATAAGATGCGCCGAGAGGCACTGGGATGACTCCTTCTCGACCAATCTCTGCGCGTCGTCACCTTGCTTGGCCCGCTAAATCATCCTGTCTAGTCGGTGTGTCACACACACACACGCACACACACGCGCACACACGCACGCACACACACACACACACGCACGCACACACGCACACACACACACGCACGCACACACACGCGCACATCAAATGTATCGGGCTCATCGTTTGATTGCGTGACTTTGTTTTTCTCCAACGGTTTTAGCCGGTGTCTGGTGCATTTTGAGCGTTTTCCTCAGGCTCTGGAAGTAATCTAAACTAAACTATGTATTTTTTTTTATTTTAGCAGTTAAGGCCCACTGAGCTATATAGCTCTTGTTTTTAGATGCGACCAGGCAATCACGAACGATAGCTCAACAAAGTAGTGAATCATGGGGAAATGTACAGCAGCCAAATGCTGTAAATTTGGAGGGAAAACCCGGAGGACCTGGAGAAAAATCCACGCGACCACGGGGAGAGAGAGAGACACGCAAACTCCAAATATACAGCAGCAGGCGTCAGGGTCGGGACGAACCCACAACCTCCTGTATACCAGGCGAGGTCGTTAACATCATGCAATGTACCTGCATCGCAGATATAAATAGTATTGTGTGTACATATAGCATACATACATGAGCAACATGGGGGTGGGGGTCACTTGTTACTGGGCAGTAGTTGTTGGGGGGGGGCAGTCCTTGCAGCAGACTACGTTCTTATTAACCATTGCATATGCTGGCTGCTAGATAACAATCATATAATCTGCATTCTCAATTAATTAACGCACGCAATCGCTTAAAACATTGTATCGAACCCACGACCTCCTGTATACCAGGTGAGGCAGTTAACATCGCGCCGGTCGCAGTTGCAATCGCCCCCTCTCTGGCGAAGAGATCGAAGAGGTCGAAGAGATCGACGAGGTCGAAGAGATCGAAGAGGTCGAAGAGGTTGAGCAACGCGAGTTGGTAGGAGCCCGAGCAGGCGAGCGGGCGGGCGGGCGGTCGGGGGAGTCGATGGGGAGTCGAGGGAGATTTGGAGGTGGAGGTGGAGGGGGTTTGCGAGCGTGTATCGAAGTAAGGAGTTGTGGGTTGCGCAGCAGATTGGTTTCATCGTTGGGAGAGGTGGGCGCGCATTGCTCTACCACGGTGGAAATATATCAGTCACGGCCCGGGTGAGAGCGTGCCGGTGGGATTTAGTCACGCACTCTCCACCTACGGAGTAATCGTTGCCTGCTGTGCGCACGCAACAATGACACTTCCTTCTGGCTCTTATACGCGACGTGTGTGTGTTTTTTTTTATTACAAGAAATGCAGACGCCTTGCTCCGAAAGTCGCACGGGTCAGCGCTGCCTCAATGCAGAGATGTCAGCTGTTGGGAGCGTTTTTGTAAACCAGTTTTATTTTTTTTTAGGGGGGGGGAGGGGGGCGAGAGGGGGGCGAGAGGGGTGGCGAAACCAGATCCGGCAAGATAGAATGTCTCCATTAGGCAGGCTCGCAGGTGCTTGGCAGCTCAAGACCTGAGCCACTCCGCTCTCTCTCTCGCTCACTCACTCGCTCGCTCGCTCACTCAATCGCGCTCTCTTTCTTTTTTTTACGATCAGTGGAAACAAGAAGATGCTCGGTGTATTCGGCACTTTGCTTCGTTCATCATTTCGTCTTTTTTTTTATAATAACTTTGCTTTATGTAAACCCCTACCTCTCGCTCACTCTCTCGCTCACTCTCTCTCTCTCGCTCACTCACTCTTGCTCGCTCTCTCACTCACTCGTGCTCTCTCTGTCTCTCTCGCTCACTCAATCCTGCGCGCGCACCGGGAGGTTTCGTGTGATCAAAATACTCGGCAGCGATTTAAATAAATAAATAAAATATCGGAGCAGGCTGAGATTTCGACACGTTTATGAATTTTCAGTTGTTTTTTTGGATGACACTTTTTTTTGCTTGGTTTGGTTTTTTTTTGCGTGTACAACTTTCTCGACGTTTTCGGCACGGCGTCGCGACGTTTCGCTCCACGTTCCTGAGAGCTTCTTCAGGAAGTGAACCAAACAGCCCACTCTCTGCCGAGAATATGTAGCCTTGCCAGCTGCTGCTGCTCTTCTCTGATGTAGTCCGGCTGATATAATTTGCTCTGTCTGGGACGAAACGGGAATAGCCATGGAAACCTCATCACTTTTGCCCCAAGAAGCCCCCAGCACGTGGAGCGAAACGTCGGACACCATGCCCAACAACACGCCGTACAACCAGAAAATACATCGCAGAGAAAATAGTCCAGTTTCCTTGCTCATCTGCCAAAAAGAGCTTCATAGCTCATCGGATTTCTCCAGGATAAATATTCTGATTCTGAAATGGCAGGCTGGGAGTTTTAGGTGGTGCTCACCTTGATGAGTAGCCCTGAGCTATGGAATTAGACAAATATCTCCAATTGCAGGAAGCTCCTGGAAATTAGAGTCTTACGACTCGGTAAGATGTTCTTGGATAAACAAAGGGCCATGATAGCTACCCACTGGAGGCCTCGTGACGAGGGCTCCTTTTCGCAGGGGAGATGGCCACGTCGCTTGGGGTCTAAACTCGCGTTTGCCGCGATGTGGTAACAATGTACTTTATTTGTGAGTGACAAAATAAAATAATTACGGTTGAAAAAAGAACCAGACCTGAATTACCAATTCCACCTCCCCAATTTTTTTTTTTATAAAATGCTTTGCAAAAGATATTCCGGAATAATCCAGGGCATCATTTTCGTAATTCGTTCCGCTAATTATTTATGTTGAGTGTGATTGACAGCACGCGTGTGTGTGTTTCAGTGGTTAGTGACTTGCAGTGATGAGAATACATGCGGCAGGCTTTGTGTTTCAGAGTGAACCGCACTCCAAATAACGTTTGAGCCACTTTAATTATCACGTGATTAACGAAAAGCACAACAACAATAACAATAAAATACAAATTGCTGAAACACATACGGGAACATATTATCATGATACTCGTGAATATGTCATTTTGTATCGTGAAACACGATACCAGTGGTGATCCTAAGTTCGAGTCAAATGTTCCCTCTCAACGCCAGCAACATGGCAGCGTGATGAGTGGCATGGGTTTGGGAAAGAGGTAACAGCTATATGTGTGTGTGTGGAAATGTTGAGAGTGGTAGACTACCCTGGTTGATAATAATGATTAGGTGTTGTTGGCCAACTTCGTACATTTTACATGGAACTAATGTATATACATCGCTGCCACCTTGTGAAGACCCCTTGGGAAAGATGCCGATCTCAATGTAGAAACATCGAATGAAAACCTATATTACTATTATTATTATCAGTTTAACACGTAGGCTTACGCGACCAATATTATTCATAATCAACGTTTTTGGGTTTAGATCGCGTTATTTATAAATTCGCCAGCGAATTGCCCAATGATGCTGGATGCAATTACCAGCGAAACGTCGTACTCAAATTGTAAATGTTATGGTTTCACGCTTCAACACACCGGTGGGCTAAAGCAGTGAACTATTTGTCTTTTGTCAACGTGACACTTTTTTTTTTACTGATTGGCCGTGTCGGGTGGTGGAGGGTTACGACACATTTATAAATAACGCGATCTAAACCCAAAAACGTTGATTATGAATATTATTATTATTATAATACATGTCATATATAATCTGAGGAATGCCACTCCACTGATGCCACAATATTAATAATGATAATCGCCACGTGTCGGCACATTCATATTGTATCGCACCATGAAAAATGATATCGTGACAAAATCTGAGTTCATAATCCCGAAGCGGCGGGGGGAGCGGACGGAGGCTCTGCGAGGAGCGCCATTGGTGCAGTGCCACCATCACCAGGTGTTGAAGCTCCAGTCCCCAACCCCTCCCGTATCCCTTCCCCTATCCATGCCCCCATTCTGCACCAGCTCGGGGAATAGACACAATAAAGACGCAGATGATGTTGGCACGAGGGGGAAGGTTATTTGGGTTTAGAGTCACACGAACCTTTTCGGTAGGAACAGTAAAAAAAAACTAAAAGCCCCAAAAACTTTAAACTAAAAACAATACCGTGATGTGTTCTCTCTGCAGTCGTCGCTGTGAAGAGAATCTCACGTTTAGCGTTCTCCTGCTTATGTGTCTGCATATGCGTGCACGCGTGATGTGTTTATGTAAGCGGGGAGCGGTGGGCGAAGCGGTTAGCGCACTGCGCTATGGGAGCCGGCAACCCGAGTTCGATTCCTGCTCACAGCCATCATCGGTAAGGAATATCTGAACCGGTTCTAGGTCGACTCAACCTAAAATGAGTAACAGGTGTTGGTGTCAATTTAACCAGCGAGCTTTCACGACCAATATCATCCGTAGTACAGGTTTTTTGTTGTTGTTGTTGGTTAGATCGAGTAAATATGTGTCGTTAAATACTCTTTGTTTTTTTTTCGTTAAAGTCACGTAGGTAAAAAAGAAAATAAATGAAAACAACTAAATTAATTCACGACGTTTCGGGCGCAATACAAGCGTCCTTCTTCAGGACTTTACCGAACAAAACCAAAGAGTATGAATCCTTGCAGTCACGAAAGCTTCAAATCTAGAATGTGTCGTTAAACCCACCAGCCAATTAGTAAGGTTTGCCAGGTGTGGGGTGTTTTGTAAATATTAGCATTGGGGAGTAAGCTCCCCAATGGTGCTGGCCATCCACGCCCTCGTGTGCCGTGCCAGCCTTCATAAGTGCTCGTGAACAGCACTTGCACCAACAGTATGTTCAAGGCGACACGGGGGATCTTTGCCTTTATATTTAGCTTCTGACCAAATCATCTGGAATCGTGTGAAGACCTTACGCAGGATCGAACCTTGCCAGTGCGTGGATGGACCAACACCTTGTGCACGATGTGGGTGCGTGCTGGAGGCTGCTGTAATATAACGCCCCTGGCTCAGTGATTAGGGTTATGGTCGATCCAGCCGCAATCTTCCTCGCAATTGGAACATGTCGACTTGAAATCAACTCGGTCTATCATCACTTTAGGTGGTCGACGAAACGCGTATCACCCTGCGAGTAATCCTAGGTGGGTTATCTATTTGGTTGGGGCGGGCGGGGGATAAACTGCACCCGGCCATGGGAATGTGGAATTTCCACCACTGGCTCAAGGCCACCAAGAGAGATGAGCATTCTGCTGTGTACGCTCTCACGATGTATTTTCGGGATGTGCAATGTTCGACGTTTCACTCCACGTCTGCTGGCCGGGGGGGGGGGGGCGCTTCTTAGGGAACTGAAAATCAGGTGGTGCTGCAACGATGCCCTCCGCCCAACAAGCCGAAGAAGTGCGCTCCAGTACGTGAAGCGAAACGTCGGACATCATGCCGAACGATGCGCGGCTCAACGCGTTAACCCCCCCTCCACTGGAGAGCGATGAGCATCTCGTTCCGTTGATGGGTCAGAGCTGGAGGACACTGCAACTGTTGGGATGGAAAGCCGCCGCCACGACCACCACCATCACCACAGCCACCACTACCACCACTACCACCACCATCACCATCACCACCACCATCACCACTACCACCACCACCACTGCTACCACCATCACCGTCACCACCATCACTACCACCACCATCACCGCCACCACCATCACCACCACCACCACCGCCATCACCACAACCGCCACCACCACCACCGTCACCATCACCATCACTACCACCACTACCACCAACACCACTACCACTACCACCGCCACCATCACCACCACCACCATCACTACCACCGCCACCACAGCCACCACCATCACCGCCGCCATCACCACAACCGCCACCACCACTACCACCGCCACCATCACCACCACCACAGCCACCACCATCACCGCCGCCATCACCACAACCGCCACCACCACCGCCACCATCACCACTTCCTCCACCGCCACAACCACCCGTGGAATGTGTGCTTTTCAGGGAGTTTGTCAGCTACTTCAAAACATTTTTTCGGGGTGTTTTTGTTTCCACACCTCGCTCTTCCCCATCAACAGAGCCACCCACCCACTCTCTCCGTCCGCGCTGAGCTCCGCACGAAATCGCCGAGCTAGTCTGACGCCATGCACTTCGCTAGATAAATAAAGTTCCCAAAGAGGGGTGAGCAACCGCGGTCTCTCTTCTCTCGCTCGCTCGCTCGCTCCTCTCGCGTGGCTATTTGTTTGTTGTTGCGCTCTGGCTTTATATATTTGTACATCTTGCCGGGCGATATTGACTCAGCCCCTTAATGAGGATATTTTAAGAGCGCCGTGACTCGTGGGTTAAAGGAATGCGCGAGGGGTTTTTAATTCGTGTTTTTGGAACGCTTCGAAATTGTTTGCGTGCTGGTTGTCAGTCTACTCGGTGCCCCAGCACACAGCCAAAATAACAAAATGTAAAATTACTCGTCCAGAAAAAAAGTTTCAATAATAATAACCATTCCTAAATATTACCCAGGACGCTGCCACGTCGTGTAATGACCTGCACCCTGGACTTGTTGAGGTTCCCGGTCTCGGGGAAAGTTTTAAAAAAAATCCCCACCCACCCGCACTTTCTCTGCCCACCCAGCATCATACACGGCTACATCACAATCGGCAGGTCGCGCGCGGTGGGATGAAGTGTGGGCACTCCACAACTCTTCCGAGTCGGCTGGCCAGCGTGGAAGACTCAGCCAAATGCCCTCTAGAGAGGCCCTCTTGTGCGCCTGAAGTCCTTCCGTCAACAGTGGCACAAGAACTCAATTGCAGGGCCGCAACCCTTACCTTTGGCTTGAGGTAGACACGAAAAGGCTTCTGGCCGAACTGCCATAGAGGTCATGGTGTTAGCAATACAATCATACACGAGCTTTGCTTGTAAACAGGGTGAGAGCCTGCGAGCCCATGGGGGCTGGACTTAAAATTGTACACAAGTGCCCTGGGTGAACAAAACATGTTTGTGCCCATAGGGGTTAGCGGGCTGTAAGGGGATCGTGGATACTGTGGTGGTCTCTTGTCTCCCTGTGCCTCCTCGTCGTGGCTACGTCTCTCTGTGTCTGCCTGTCTCTGTTTAGATTGTTTATTTAAACAACAAAAAACAACAAGTATTTACAATTCAACTGTGTTATTATTTTATCAGGTGTTAGGGCCCCCTGAGCTGCATAGCTCTTTTTCAGAAGCGACCTGGACCCCAAATGATAGCTCGAGGTGGCTTATTACGTGGAAATGTAAATCAGCAGACAACTGCGCTTAGCCAGCTTAGGCCCTATTGAGCTAAAGAGATTGGGGAGGGTGGGGGGTTAAAGGCAGGATACAAAATGAAACATTGAAAATTGAAAATACGAGACAATTTGAAAAGTAAAACCCACCACAACAATAGCAGGACCTTCAATCTTAGACACAACCGGTCTGAATTGTCTCTGTCTCTCTGTCCCGTGCACGGCACCCTCGTGTTCACCTTCTGAAGCGCTCGCTCGTCACCGTGGCGTGCGCGATGACCACCACCACCACCACGTGACTTTTCTTTCGTGTTGTGCGCGGTGCTTGTAGCGCCACAGCGCGTGGATTTATACCGTTTATTTTCATTTGTTTGCTGGTGACTGTGTGTTTCGAATCGAAATCGCCTCCAGTGCTGTTGCTGCTGGCGGCAGTAAAAGTTGTTTAAAAGTCAAGTCTGTCCCAATGTCTGCCGTAGTCCCTCTCTCGGTGTCTGGCATCTCTCTCTGTGTTTCTCTGCAACTACCTTTGTGTGTGTGTCGTTCCACGTGTCTCTCCTTGTCTCTTTTCCTCTCAGTATCTTTGTTTCTCTGCGCAGTTACCTTGCTTGTCTCCAAATCCTTGGCTCACCCCTCACGAATTTCCAGCGCGCCCTACAACCTTGCACCCCCCCCCCCCCCGTTTCCCCTTGCAGCCACCCTGATCGCCCACCCCTAAAGGCTGGGCCTTGGAGCCTATTGAGACAAAAACGTCTCTTTATGGACGAGTCCCTTGACATTCAAAGCAACAGAAGAAATTAACTCATAATCTGTAGAGAGAGAGAGACAAAAACAAAAATGGCTGATCTTGCTGTTGATAGGGGCAGTGATGATGGTAATTACCCTCTCACATAACAGTTCTCATAACTTTGCCTATAACCTTATAACCCCGCTCAAATCAAGAGGACTCTTCACTCTTGAGTATGAACTTTATGGGGCTGCTGCTGTTGATGGGTCCACGCCTACCGGCCCTGAACCTGTGCTCGGCTAGCCGTGATTGACACGCAACCCTCCCCACGGCTTGTCCCGCGTCGTGCCGTGCTTATTTCTCGCCGTGGTGTCCGACGTTTCGCTCCACCTTCCGGGAGCTTCTTCGGGGCAATCGAGGAGCTTCTTGCGCGCAATGTGCGCGGAATAACCACGGAAACCTTCCGCCGTTGTTGTAGTAGCAGCAGTCGTGTTTATACCTTTCTCGTGAAAGCCTTCTTCCGCTTGAGCACCGGGAGAGTAATTTCTTTCGCTCGACACAAAGAGATCACGAACATGACCAACGTGTCAATGAAGCCTCCGTGTCAACATTTACCTCAGACCACCCCTGTGGCAAAAGGAGGGGGGGGGGGGAAGAAATCGTTATTATCACAAACAAAGCATATTCACTGCACATTTGCCATGAAATGACTGTTGCTTCAAGTCCACGTGTTAGGAGTCGCCAAATACCGCGCTGCCGTTTGATGTTTTGTGCCACCAGCTGCCGCATTGTTGTGCGGCTATTGTCCACTCTTGTACTATTATTATTTTTCATGACGGAACTGACAAGGGGGCATTCGGGTGGGAGTGGGGGATGGGGGGGGGTGCCCCAACTAAAAAAGAAATGCTGTAAAAAAAACTGTCAAAACAGTTTCAAACTCTCTGAAACTATACATACAACAAGTGGCTAATTTAAGTAGTTGCGTTTCGTTGAATGTGAAGTTGGCTATTTGCGTGGTAGAATCGATTAATGTTAAAATAATCGATAGACATGTTTGGGGCGCCTGGTTTGTGGAGAAATGTTAACTACCTCGCCTGATATACAGGAGGTCATGGGTTCGATCCAAACCCTGACGCCTGCTGTGTATTTGGAGCTTGCATGTTCTCCCCGTGGTTGCGTTGAAGTTTTCTCCGGTGTTTCCCCTCCACGTTTAGAAACACGCGTTCAGACTATTTGGCTGCTGTACATTTCCACGTGACAAGCCGCTTCGTTGAGCTATCATTTGTGGCCCAGGTCGTTTCTGCAAAAGAGCTACACGGCTCAGTGGGGCCTTACCTCGTAAAATAAACAAAAATAGAGATTGTCCGCCACAAGTGAGAGATGCACATTTTGGCTTCTCATTGGCCGATTCAAAAACCACTCCCACAGAGTGCTGCCACCTTGTGAAACACTCGAGCCGAGAGCGAAGCCATCGGGTCCAAGACTATTTCCATCGGGAGAGCCGACGCACAGACGACTCTTACATACTCTTTGTTTTTTTCAGTAAAGTCACGTAGGTAAAAACTAAAAATAAATTAAATCACGACGATTGAAAACTTTCGTGACTGCAGGGATTCATCTTCTTGGTTCTTTCGGTAAAGTCACGTAGAAGGGAAATAATAAAATAATAAAAATAAAACATAATAACATTATTTTATTATTTCCCTTCTACGTGACTTTAGATAAATCACGACGTTTAAGCGTTTGTGCTTTCGCTACGTTGTCCCCACCTGAAGAAGGACGCTTGTGTTGCGCCCGAAACGTCGTGATTTAATTTATTATAATTTTTTACCTACGTGACTTTACCGAAAAAAACGAGTATGAATCCTTGCAGTCACGAAAACTTCTTATCTAGAATTAGCACCGACTCTTCCCTCACTGCGTGCTGTCTACAGTATGCCATTGTATACTCTGTACTGTATCTGCCTAACTCATAATTTAGACAGTCCTCGACTTAAGAACGGGTTACGATCCTGAGACCCGTGCCTAAGTTTATTTGTTTGTATCTCGCCACGGTAGCGAACTGTTAACTACCTCGCCTGGTATACAGGAGATCGTGGGTTCCATTGCGTCCCCTGACGCCTGTATGTTAGGAGTTTGCATGTTCTTTCCGTGGTCGCGTGGATTTTTCTCCGAGGCCTCCGATTTTTTCCTTCCACGTTTATAAACATGCGTTTGGCCGCTTAAGAGCCACTTCGTTGAACCATCATTTGAGGCCATGTCGCTTCTGAAAAAGAGCTACACAGCTTAGTGTGCCTTATAGTTTGTTTAAAGAGTAATTGTGCATATGCTGTTAAAAATGTGTTATGGTTCAACAAAAAAGGGGAAGCATTGTTGAACTCACAAATTAAGAAAACATATTTCACATTTGCATGTAATACTGTATTAAATACTGCGTGGTAAAAAAAAAGTATAAAAAACAAATAACGTAAACATTACTTTATTTTCGCTTACCTTGAGTCGAATGGCTCAATGTCATAGTGCATCATGCGGGACTAATTACATCTCGCGGAGTATCACTCCGCCCAACAAAATAGTTCCGCGGATTGGTTCACAAGTATGAGAGAGCGAGCGTTCAAAAGTCAGATGTTTAAACAAAAATAATGAAATCGTTTGAAAGTGCCGATGTTCGCAAGTCGGATGTTCATATCTCGAGGACTGCCTGTAGCGACAATTACACTGGTAGGGACCACCTGGTTCCACCAACCCTCAGGGGATTATTGTGTCCGTCCGTCCGTCGTGCATCCAAAAATGGGAGGGGTGGGGATGGGTGGAGAGGGGAGGGTGGGGAGGGGTTGGGTGGGGAGGGGAGGGTGGGGAGGGGTTGGGTGGAGAGGGGAGGGTGGGGAGGGGCTGGGTGGGGAGGGGAGGGTGGGGAGGGGCTGGGTGGGGAGGGTGGGGCTGGGTGGGGGGTGGGAGGGGAGGGGCTGATCACCCCGTGGTGCCCTCATAAAACTCAACGTTTAACCTACTCACGCCGGCTTGTGCCCGCCCTCACAGTCGGCCATATTTGCAGAATACACCACGCTGCCGTTGACCCTGGCCATTGACCGAACAACCCAACGTTCCTACCAGCTCCCTCCGCAGGAATGTGTTTGATTCAGCAATAGCACCCATCTGTACACCTGGGGAGGGGGGGGGGTAAGAGGGGGTGGGTCTTAGGGCTCATATTGCATCTCATCTCATTGAAAGGGCACACCCAGTGACAGCTGTTTCTGTGCAGCACAAGGTGACCCAGAACCAGATCTGCAAATGGGCATTTATAAGTCTGCCAGTAGGGTGGCGATGGTTGCCATGTAGAATTCCCATTGAGTAGTTTTCGAATCCGTCAATTTTGGACCCCGACGCCAACATACAACAGCATATCCCTTGCGAATTATGTCGCGGGATCTTTAAGGTCCGCTGCGAATCAATGTTGTCATGGTGATTACACACCACAGTAGTAACCAGGGCGGCCGCTGGATTCGAACCGCGAGCGCGCACACCGCTGGACCACCGCGTCACCGCTGTACAATCCACATTCATCATCTTCCTGGCTTGTTGTTTATACCGCGTCTCCCATGCAGTGCGTCTCAAGGCACCACAACACACGGGGCATTCGAAATAATCACTCTGTGAGGAAGTAATTGCAGGCCAAACGCAATGTTATAATAAGTAATATTTAAAAATGTTTTTTTTTTTAAACACGCTTTAATGAAATGTACCGTACTAGTAATGGAAGAACTCCACGACTCCAGGAAGTGGCCCCGAAGCTTGCCACAACGTAAGGGGCCGTGGTGATTTACAGCCAGCGTCAGTTGAGCGTGGACAATTAGACCCAAGCCGAAATAAAACATATAAAAAATAATGTTAACATTTTTTTAATGATAGAATATAGTATTGTCATCAGTATGACATAAGTATACCAAGTTTGCAGTCGATATCACATTGGGAAGTGGGTTAAAATTGAGTTACAAGATTTGAGGATACAACAACAGCAAAGTGAGTTCATAGAAAGCGTGTAAAAGGGTAGTTTAAAAAAAATGTGTTTATTTTTTATGATAGAATATGGTATTGTCATCAGTAAGACGTAAGTATACCAAGTTTGCAGTCGTTACCACATTGGGAAGTGGGTTAAAATTGAGTTACAAGATTTGAGGATACAACAACAACAGACAGAGTGAGTTAAATAAAAGCGTGTACAAAACAATGCATTGCAGAGAGCACACACGGCAAACGAGAAGAGACAAATTGAAAATATAAATTGTGCTCGAGTGTTCTCTCTCTTTCTTTGTCTCTTTTGTCCACTTATTTTCACGGTTATTCACACGCTGTCTGAAAAATAATGTCTTTCAGTTTATTATTTTTACCGATGAATTGTGGGTGCATTCATATTTCCTGGGAAGCTGTTTTGCAACTTTGGTGCCAAAAACGCTAAATTTCCGTTCAGTAATTCATACTTTCGTCTGTCATTCCTGTCATTAAAAAGCTGTCATAACTGGAGCGTAATTTATGATTTGGCAAATAATTTCGCAATAATTCTGTCAAATATAGGGGCCCCATGCCATGTAGCAGGGACTCTGTTGTCCTTCCCCCCGCATCTCCGATTAGCACGGTTGGCTACGTACGCTGCGAAAGGAGTTCAACACACACACACACAACTTTAAAGTCATCATCAAAATTCACATCTTCTCACTGCCAGCATCCAGGCGAGTGCATAATGACCTAATGGTTGCAGCTTGGGGTCATATACACATTGCCTGTGCACACTTTATGACATTCAAATGCAAATTGAAATGATCGACAGCTATTTGCATTGCTTCGCTGTTTTACATGTCCACCCAGAATATGAATATTTATTTACAATGGATGAATCTGATGAGCTGCAAAGCTCTTGTTCAATGACGTCCACCCGAGTGGCCACACGGCGAGCGTGCAAGTCTCGAAATCAGAAAGCGACAATTTTACACCCAGCCTGTGGGATATCAACAGGGGTTGTTCTATGAACGTATTGCTCACTGCCATAGAAATGTAGAATTTACACCGCGGGCTTTTGGTGATCAATGGAGATGAGCACTGCCCTGAGAGGGAGGCGCTGATGAGTTTATTTTTATTTTGTTTTATACAACCGTGCTTTTGTGTAGACAGCTGAAGTGTCACGGGTGAATGTCACTGAACTACGATTGTTGGATCAGATTGCAGGGTGCACGATCCACGGCTGGATGAGGGCTTTCCCGTCGGCGAGGAGCATAGACGCGGCGGGAGCGTAGTACGGTACAACAATGGATTTTGCTGCCCTGCCCTCTGTTGCCAGCAAAGTCGCTCCGCAGTAGGCCCACGATGCCTGCTGTGTGGATGGCGGGCACCCTAACCAGCACGACTGAGTGTCATCTTTGCAGACGTTTGAAATTCTGCGTCGTGCCGCGTGCATGCTAAACTTAGAATGGAGAAAGTGTCGGAGGCACACAGTGCCACGAAAAAAAATGGGGAGAGAAAATCCAAAGGAATTTAATGAACACACTTAACAGCGCTAGCTCCCGGTGACTTGACCGCCACGGTGGCGAGATGTTAACTACCTCACATGGTATACAGGAGGTCGTGGGTTCGATCCTCAACCCTGACCCCTGTATATTTGAAGTTTGCATGTTCTCTGCGTGGCCGCCTGGTTTTTTCTCCGGGTCCCTCCGGTTATTCCTCCGCATTTAGAGTCGACATCTTTCGTTTAGAACATTTGGCTGCAATAAACCTCCACATGATCATGAGCCACTTCGTTGAGCTGTCATTTGTGGCCGGGTCGCTTCTGACAAAGAGCTTACATAGCTCAGTGGCCCTTCCCTGGTAAAATAAAAAAATAAAAAGTTCTAGTTTATCTTCTTGGTTCTTTCGGTAAAGTCACGTAGAATGGAAATGATAAAATAATAGTATTTTATTATGTTTTATTTTTAGTATTTTATTATTTCCATTCTACGTGACTTTACCGAACGAACCAAGAAGATGAATCCCTGCAGTCACGAAAGCTTTAAATCGAAAAGTTCTAGTTTAGTTAAGCCTTTCGCACGTTTACACAGTTCGGGGATCACTTACGACGGGGCAGGCCCTCTTCTAAGTGACCACAACAACAAGAAAAAGGCGACGCACGCTGTGACCCAGGTAGCGTGCGTGGCGGCGCAGTAAAGTTGCCTTCACGTGGGGACTACAGCCTCGGAAGCATCGGAACAACGGTGCAACACATGCTTTCCCGTCCCAGTGAACTCTGGGATAAATACATTTTCCTCAGTGGTCAGGTGAATGCATCTTACGTCAGGACACGAACCGTTCAATCAGCCCTCGTGTATGTGCAATGTAATGGGAACCTTGCAGTAAAAAAAAACAAGTCAGGTTAGGATTGCACCGCATCGCTGTGCAGTAAAGTGATCGGGCAAATGGAAACTTTTTGACAAGCGCCGATGACGACCGATTGCCTTAAACACGGACTAACTTTACCTTCCCTTCTCCGCTGATGTATAGACTCCCTTCGATGTAGGTATGCGCTGGTGGTGTGACCCGACTCTAAGTCATTTCACTGTGCACACAAAAAAACCCGCAAAAAAGAATCACCTAAGCAACCACTCGTCAACCACCACCCCCTACACCCACCTCCTCCCCCCCCCCAAAAAAAAAACAGGTTAACAACCTATGCTGCCAAATTCGCCCGAGATAAAAATCCGTCGAGGAGATATTTTCTCACCCTAAAAGGGCCGAGCAGATTGACGTCGCAAGTCGGCAGGTTTCACCTGCGGGTCGTGTCTTCATCCTTCCTGCTCCTGCTGCCGCTGCCGTTGCAATGCAGGTGCCCTCGCCCCGCCCCCAGGCCCCACCCCCAGCCCCCAGGCCCCGCCCCCATCCTGCCCATTCACGCGCAGGCAGAACGTGTTGGACCCACGCGGGCAGCAGTTGCGTACGCTTCTTAAAGTGCATTTTTTATTACTCGCTCTTTCACGTAGGTATGAAATGAAATAAATCACGACGTTTCAACACAAGCGTCCGTCATCAGGTGGGAAAGCATGCAACACAAGCGTCCGAAACGTCGTGATTTATTTTATTTCATACCCACGTGACTTTACCGAAAGAACCAAAGAGTATGGATATCCCTGCAGTCACAAAAGCTTCAAATTAAGATGCAATTATTATTATTGTTGTTATCGCGCGTGGCGTTGCTGCGTTCGATAACGGCGTGCGGGGTGCGCCGCCGTTTGAAGGTCGAACCGAGAGATTCGGTGGCCGTTGCTGCCATTTCACCGGACTGGCCACACAGAGGTCGACCGCGGTGGTCGAAACGGCGGTGCGGGTTTACCAAAATCCCCGCCCGCCGCCTCTGTCCAGCAAGCAGTGTCAGTGGGGAGCGCCGACTTGGGTGGGGTCACGTGTGGTGGGGTCACGTGCGGTGG